TGTAATCTCTTGACTGTAATGAGGACAAACCAGGCATGGATGTTGGACTTTTTTTTACGCGTTAGTTTTATTTATTTGGTACAGCTGCTGTGACCGGCTTGGTATTCTAGTCACGGTTGACAGATTATTATCGTAATGATTATATTTTTTCGTTGTTTGTGTTATTACCTCGTTGCGTGTTCTGTCAAAGCGATTGCTTTTGCCGTTACTACATTTAGATTTTATTTCTAATTGTAATTATGGGTATTAGTATTAACTTATCATACGTTATTGTTGTCATCATCTTTGTTTTAATGCTGATGCTACTGATCATGATGATGTTGAAGGTTGTTTTCACCACTATTATTACTCCTAAATCTTCCTTGAATTCACTCCACCCTTCCCACTTTAAGCCTAACATCTGCTCCTTCTCACTTGCCTCCTCATCCTTCTTAGCCTCCCCACCTCCTTCGCTTCTATATCCCCTTCCCTCTCCCTGTTATCCTCCTTATCTCTCTCTGTCCCTTCTCTCTGCCCTTCATCCCCCCTTTCTTCTTGAACTCTCCTTTCTCTCTGCGTGTGTATGGTTTCCTCGTTAGTCTCTTCACATTTTTTGCTTTCTATCCGTTATTCCTTCCATTCGTTTTCATTCCTTCTCTTCATTGTTTGCGTATCACTTTTTTTGCGTATTTTCTGCTTTCCTCCTGTTTATTTTTACGTCTCAGCGTCTCTTTCTATTTCTCCGTATCTTGTCTTTTTTGCGATGTTTCCTGGTCTCCTTCCTTTCGTGTTATCCGTTTCTCCTCCTCTTCCTTGTTTGCTAATGGTCCACTTTTTTGTATCTTTTGGCATTCCTTGCTCTCGCCATCCTAGGTTAACGAAGACGACTCACCTGCCTTGAGCCACGTCGGGTCACGGACTTACCTTCATTTGGCTGAGGTCACGGGGTCACGGGGTCTTCGGGTCAGGGGGTAATAGGCACACGGATCCCTTCTCCTCCTCCTTCTCTCCCTTTCCCTCGTTTCTTCTCCATCTTTCTTTTATTCTTCCTTGCTCCTTCTCCCCCCTCCCTCTCTTCCTCTTCCTCGCTCCTTCTCCCTCCATCTCTGTTCTTCTTTCTTCTCCCTTACAATTTCCCTTCGTCTCTCATTTCTCCATCCTCATTCCCTTCCTTTTCCGTCCTCTTGTTCCTCTCCCTTTAACTTTCCTTCTTCGTACTCCGTTTTCTCCCTCCTATCCCCTTTCCTTTATCTTTCGCCTTTCGTTTTCCTTCCTTTCTAAATTTCTCTTTTTGCTTTCTCTTTCTCTTCTCGCGTTCTTCGTCTCCCCTTTTCCACCACCCGCATGTCACCTCGTCTCTGTCGTGTTAGCTTATTTATTCCCCTCTCCCCCTCTTCCCCTTTAAATGATCCCGCTCCCCTTTTTTACCCCCGTTAAAAGCCCCCTCTATCCTTTTTACCGCTTTTAATTTAAATGTCGCCTCTCCATTTTATCCCCCTTATTCGAAAAAGACTTCCCTTTTTTATCCCCTTATTTTAATTGTTTTTCTCTCTCTCCTTTTTATCTCCTTTATATAAAATGTCTTCTCCTCCCTCCCTCCCTCCCCCCTTTCCCACCAGCACCCCCCCCCCCGCGTAGGTGAAAGTCCCGGGACGTTTTCCAAGTTTGTCTTCGTGTATTTGTCTTCTCTCTTGTCACCTCGCCGCCGCAGTCCCGTCGTATCGCAACAATCTGATTCGTCTATCATCTTTATTATTATTATTATTATTATTATTATCGCTATCTCCGCCACAGGAGGAGATGCGGCATCTTATCATCTTATCGCCGTCGCTGCAACGTCGGCGCGTTCTCGCTCTCTTCTCTTCTTATCATTCCGGAAAAGTTTTACGCCCGCTCGTATTTGTGTGTTTACGTATTCATGCGGTTTTTGTTTATCTAATAATATCTGTAAGTTCAGCCCCGAGGAAAATCCGGATGCAAATGAGTCCACAGACGGCGTGTGACAGAGGAGATGCATAAACTTGTTCGCAACTTGTTTCGTCTGCCTGCCATGTTGATGACGTATTCATGCATTATGCAGCCCGTGTCTCGGCGGTTGAAGGCTGACGGAAGGGCTGCGAACAGGGGCGTATCCGGCCGCCCTTTTCCCCCCTTCCCTCGCCTGCCGCTTTCTCCCTCCCTCCTTTACTCACTTTCCGCTTGTTTGTGCTCGATTTTCTCCTTCGTTTCCTCCCCCCACTGTTCTTCGATTTGCTTGTCTTAACCCTTTATCTCGCCATTTGGCATCCTTTATAAGTATCCCTTTATCGATGTGATGGTTTTCATTTTATCAACCCCTCCTTCCCCCTTTCTACCTGTCTCTCGTGTTCCACTTCACTCCCCCCTTTCGCCTGGAGTCTCTTGTCCCTTCTTATCGGATATTGACGTGGGGGGGGGGGCGGTAATGCGTTCAGGATCCGTGATTTGCTTTCAAAAAATGTGCTTGTTGTGTCAACTTCCGGGCGTACATACCGGCACGAACAGAAACAGATACACGTACACGCGCACATATTGCAACTCACACGGACGCTTCCCTTCCGCTCCTACTCCCACTACTCCTGTTGCGATTCGTACTACTGCACTACTCCCACTCCCGCCCTCACTCATACTCCCTCTCCTCTCCCTCCCACCACGATCGTTCCTACCCCAACCTTCATCCCCCGCTCCCACTCCCCTCCCCCTCTACCCACCCCAAGTCTCACTCCCCTCCCACTCCCACCTTCGTTCCTACCCCCACCTTCATGCCACTCCTACTCCCCCCCACACCACTCCCCCCACCCATCCTCCCCCCCCCCCACACCCACTCCCCCCCACCCATTCCTCCCCTACCAACGTACAATACACACGTATGTGCAAGTCGTGATCAGAACCCAAGTAAGGCTCGCCCCCCCCCCATCAACCTCGTCTTTCTATCGGCTAACTGTAAAACCGATGACTTGCCATTTGTTTATTTAACCGGCGAGTTGTAGGGCCTGCGATATGGTGGCCGTGAGAGGACGAATGAAATGAATGCTTGATAAAACGGCGATCTGGAATTGCCATTTGGAAACGCTCTTGTCGCCGTTAGATTTTCTGTGTATGTTTGCGGTATATGGCTTGCTTATATGTTTATGTGTGTATATTTTTTTTATTTTTTTTTTATTTTTTAGGCAGTATTTGTGGTATATGGCTTGCTTATTCATTTATGTGTGTATATGTTTATTGTTTGTTTTTTATTGTTTTTTTATTTATTTTTTTAGGCAGTATTTGTGGTATATGGCTTGCTTATTTATTCATATGTGTATATATTTATTGTTTGTTTATTTTTTTCTGATTTTTTTAGACAGTATTTGTGGTATATGGCTTGCTTATTTAATCATATGTGTAAATGTTTATTTATTTATTTATTTATTTTAGACAGTGTTGTATATTTTGTTTATTTATTTTATGTTATATATATATTTATTTATTTAGCAGTATTTGTGGTATATGGCTTGCTTATTTATTCATATGTGTGTATATACTTAATTATTGTTTAAGGATTTTGTTTTTATGTTATAGAGTATCCCTATAACATAAAACTGTTTGTAGTCAATTCTTTTTGTAGAGATGACATGCGGTGAAGTGACGTGTATTGTTTCAGGCGACCTTGTAAACCGGATATTGTCTGATAACAGGACGTATTTTGATTGTTACTTGCATGTTCAAGGCCCGTTTCGGTTGCGCATATCGGACGTCCACTGTTCAAAAAATGGGAGAGAGAGAGAGGGAGGAGAGGGAGGAGAGGGGAGAGAAGGAGAGGAAGGAGAGAGGAAGAGAGAGGGGAAGAGAGAGAGAGAGAGAGGAGAGGAGAGAGAAGAGAGAGAGAGAGAGGGGAGAAAGATAGAGAGAGATAGAGAGAGAGGGAGAAAGATAGAGAGAGAGGGAGAAAGATAGAGAGAGAGGGAGAAAGATAGACAGACAGACAGAGAGATTTTTGCTTCGGTTCAAAGTAGTATATAGACATTTCCCTTTTGCCATGTAAATATTTTCACCAACTCACCAAAATGTTTCGGGGCTCATTGAGGGACCGAACCCCCTGGAGAGAGAAATGAAAAAAATAGATGAATAAAAAGACAAACGAATTATAAAATTGAAGAGTAAATGATCATTTAATTTTTTTCCCGGATAAATGATCAGCCAGTAATACATTCATATATCCTCCCCACGGCTGCTATGCTCTGTATTTGTCTGATTAACATAGTTTATTAGTAATATCTGGAATAGTTAGCTGCCTCTAGCATAAGCCTTGTGTATTTGGCTGGACAGCTTGTTTAGGTGAATTATTGTGTATATGTTAGTTATTAGTTATTGCTATCATTTGGAACATCTAATGATCCGTCCCTTGTGAAATGAATCGTGGAAGATATATAAACAGTATGGGTATGGATAAATACATGTATACAAACATACATACAGTACATGCATTCATACATATATACATACATATTCACGTGTATACACCCACGCACATACACACGTACGTACACAAGTGCACACTGACACACACACACATACATTCACACGCACTCACATGCATTCACACACACTCACATACATTCACATTCATTCACACACACTCACACACATTCACACACAACACACACAGCACATTCACACACACACATTACGCATTTCACATTCACACTCGCATTCACACAAGACATTCACACAAGACATTCACACAAGACATTCACACAAGGCATTCACACACACATTCACACACACATTCACACACACATTCACACACACATTCACACACACATTCACACACACATTCACACACACACACACACACACACACACACACACACACACACACACACACACACACACACACACACACACACACACACACACACACACACACATGTATTGGATTGATTGTTGTTTTTTTTAAGTAAATCCTATATGCTGCTACATTTCTAGCGGTCACCTTAGAATAAAATTATTTTCTGTTCCAGGTATGTGGGCGCGACATAGAGCGCTGTGTGCCCATTGCAGATGTAAGTATTTATTTCTTCTTCAGTTTTCCTCGTCGTCACACTCTCTCTCCTTTTTCCTTTCACTTGCTTTCGTCCTTTTTCCTCCTCCTTTTCCCTGTTTCTGCCCTTGAGGTATCTCTTTCTCTCGTCCTCATTCACTCTGTCTTTCTCTCTCTCTCGTCCTCTTCCACTCCGCCTTTCTCTCTCTCATCCTCACTCTCTCCTTCTCCATTTCCTTTTCCCTTACTCTCTCCCTCCCATTTCTCCTCTTCCCCTTCTTATTTCTCTCCCATTCTCTTTTTTCCCCTTCCCTCTCCTTCTCCATTTCCTTTTCCTTCATTCTCTCCCTCCTATTCCTCTTTCCACTTCTTCTTCTCTCCCATTCCTTCCCTCTCCTCCATTTCCCTTACTCTCTCCCTCCAGTTCCTCCTCCTCCCCTTCTTCTTTTTCTCCCTCATTCTCTCTTTTTCCCTTCCCTCTCCCTCCTCCTCCCTTTCTTCTCTCTTTTTCCCTTCCCTCTCCCTCCTCTTCCCCTTCTTCTCTCTCTCCCCCATTTCCCTTTTCACCCTTCCCATTCCGTCTCCATCTCCATCTTTGCTTTCGTTTCCGTGCTTCGTGCGTATATAAGACTAGGAATAAATTGACCAGGAGAATCGGAGGCAGCGGGGGGGGGGGGGGGGGAGCAGTCCCGTGTGCGTGCGGCGGTGGCTGCATGTGGAGACGCTGCATGTGGAGACGCTGCATGTGGAGACGCTGCATGTGGAGACGTCCTCAGACCTCTGCCTTCTTGGATTCGTGCATTATTACGCCAGCATTTGCCGCTTCAGAGAGTTAGTTTTTTTTTTTTCTTCTTTTTTCTTTCTTTCTTTTTTTTTCTTCTTTTTCTTCTCGCCGCGCCCGGGTTTGCTGCGTTCGCGCCGGGAAGATGTTTTTTTTTTCGTCGGAAGATATTTTCTCGTCGATATTTTCTCGTCGGAATATATTTTTGGAATATATTTTCTCGTTGGAAAATATTTTCTCGTCGGGAGATATTTTCTCGTTGGAAAATATTTTCTCGTCGGGAGATATTTTCTCGTTGGAAAATATTTTCTCGTCTCTCGTGGAAGATATTTTCTCGTCGGAAGTATTTTCTGAATAATTTTGTCGGTGGAAGATATTTTCTCGTCGGGAGATATTTTCTCGTCGGGAGTCGTATATTTCTCGTCGGAATAAATTTTCTCGGTGGAAGATATTTTCTCGTCGGGAGATATTTTCTCGTCGGGAGATATTTTCTCGTCGGAAGATATTTTCTCGTCGGGAGATATTTCCTCGTCGGGAGATATTTTCTCGTCGGAAGATATTTTCTCGTTGGAAGATATTTTCTCGTCGGAAGATATTTTCTCGTCGGAAGATATTTTCTCGTCGAAGATATTTCTCGTCGGGAGATATTTCCCTCGTCGGAATCGGAAGATATTTTCTCTCGGAAGATATTTTCTCGTCGGAAGATATTTTCTCGATGGAATATATTTTCTCGGGTGAATTTTTCGACATCTCTGGAGATTTATGTTCGCCGGCGGGGAAAATGGCGTGGGAGGCGACGCAAATACATATATTTTGAAAAGCTGTTGATTGTATTGCAAGATTGTTTGAGTGGTAATTGTTATAGTAATTAAAATCAGTGGTTATTAAAGCAATCAAGATCATAGCTGTTGGTTTTGATTTGAGAGACGAAAGGAGATTGAGAGATGGAAGAAGAGAAAGAGAAAGAGAGATAGAAGAGAGAGAAGAGGAAAGAGAGAGAGAGAGATAGAGAAGAGAAGAGAAGAGAGAAGAGAGAAGAGAAGAGAGATAGAAGAAGAGAAAGAGAATGAGAGATAGACAAAGAGAAAGAGAAAGAGAGATAGAAAAGAGAAAGAGAAAGAGAGATAGAAGAGAAAGAGGAAGAGAGATAGAAGAAGAGAAAGAGAAGAGAGATAGAAGAAGAGAAAGAGGAAGAGAGAAGAGAAAATAGAAAAGAGATAGAAGAAGAGAAAGAGGAAGAGAGATAGAAAGAGAAAGAGAAAGAGAGATAGAAGAAGAGAAAGAGAAAGAGATATAGAAGAAGAGAAAGGAAAGAGAGATAGAGAAAGAGGAAGAGAGAGAGCGAAGAAGAGAAAGAGAAAGAGAGAGAAAGAGAAAGAGGAAGAGAGATAGAAGAAGAGAAAGAGGAAGAGAGATAGAAGAAGAAAAATAGAAAGAGATAGAAGAAGAGAAAGACAAAGACAAAGACAAAGAGAGATATAAGATGAGAAATAGAGATAGAAGAAGAGAAAGATAAGAGAGAGTAGACGAGGGATAGAAAGAGCGAAAGGGAGAAAGAGAAAAAGAAAGGATGGGGACATTAAGAAATAAAAGGAGAAGAATGTAATTCGAAAGACCACGTGTAAGAAAAACGCTGTTAGCGGAAAGGAGAAAATCGTGATCTCTCCTATCCTCACCTTTTACTTTTATTGAGGAAAAAAAGTTGACAAAAAATAGATTACCTTTATTTTTTTGCTCAACCGCGAAGAGAGGCTAAAGATGAAGAAAGTGTGAGAGAGTGAAACCGAACGGGGAATAAGGTCAGTCTTCATTAAAACGGAAAAAGACATAAAAGGTCAGTTTTATCTTGTGGTATCTCTCTCTCTCTTCTTTCTCTTTCTTTCTTTCTTCTTTCTTTCTTTCTTTCTTTCTTTCTTTCTTTCTCTTTCTTTCTTTCTTTCTTTCTTTCTTTCTTTCTTTCTTTCTTTCTCTCTCTCTCTCTCCTCTCTCTCTCCTCTCTCTCTCTCTCTCTCTCTCTCTCACTCTCTCTCTCTCTCTTCTCTCTATTCCGATTTCCCTATCTTCCTTTCTTTCTCTCTTCCTCTCTTCCTCTCTTCCTCCCTTCCTCCCTCCTTCCATCCTCCTCCTCCTCTCCCGATTACTCTCGCCTTCTCTCTCCCTCGCTCTCCCATTCCTTCCCTCTCTCCTTTCCTTACTGTAATTAGAACCAGTCCAGCTTCCTCCCTTCCGCGGCGAGGATAATGGTCCAGATTTGAGACCACGAGCGACGAAAAGCGATCAAATATGTAAACCTGCGTGCGAGCGAGGGACAGGACGGGACGCTTTGAGGTTTCGGAAAGCGGGGTATTTTTCGCTTGTGGAATCGGACGGGGGTGGTCAAGCTGTGCTCTCCTGGCTGGTGGGGGACGGTGAGGGTTGCGGTGCCGATTTGTGCTTGGGTTAGCTTCTTGCTTGCTGGCTGGTTGGTTTGCTTGCTTGCTTGGGGTAGGGGAGGTTCGGTAGGGGGTGGTGCGTGAGGGAGGTGGGGCTCTGTCTGGTGGCTTGCCGACGTCTGGAGATTGTGGGAGTAATGGTCCTTCTAATCGCCTTCGTAATTGTTTGCTTGCTTTTGTGGTTAGTGAAGGTTATGGGGTTTGTTTGGTGTTTGCGTTGTCTGCTTGCTCTCGGGGACGGCGTGGGCGGGGCGTCGATGGTGCCTTGCGCGGGCGGCTGGCTTTGATCCGATGGAAATTGGTTGCCGTTCTCCCGCCCGTTCCATCGGGGCGTTCATGCTTTTATTATTGGGATTGGACTCTCTGTTTTTTGAGTGTGTAAGGGGGGGGGGTATTCTTGCTTGTCCTTATTCTTTATTATTTCTCTAACTCTCTGTTGTAAATTAAATATTGTGGATTGTTTGGTTATCCTTCCTGTAGCCGCGTCTCTCTCCTTCAAAATATATCAGAAAATACGAAATACAACATCATATATATGACAAAACATATTACATAGATATACGTAGATAAATGTTATATATTAATATAGATATAAAATATATGTATATAATATAATATAGATATAGAGTTATATGTTATATATTAGGTATACATAAAATATTATATAATATAAAACAAGAATGTATTGTGTGTGTGTGTCAACTTATCTATTTTTTATAAATGAAAGATGATACAAGCCAAAAACACCGGAAACGGAAAAGCGCACCGACGAAGAGCGCCGATTACCTTCCGCCGAGGAGGAGGAGGAGAGGAAGAAGGAGAGAGGAGAGAGAAGAAGGAGAAGAAGGGAGAGAGAAAAGGAAGAGGAGGAGAGGAGAAGGAGGAGGAGGAGAAGAGGAGGAGGAGAGAAGGAGATGAAGGAGGAGGAGAAAAGGAGGAGGAAGGAAGAGGAGGGAAGAAGGAGGAGGAGAAGAGGAGGAGAAGAAGGAGAGGAGAAGAAGGAGGAAGAAGAAGGAGGAGAAGAGGAAGGAGAAGGAGGAGAGGAGGAGGAGAGAAGGAGAGGAGGAGAAGGAGGAGAAGGGAAAGAGAGGGGGGGGAGAAGGGAGAAGGGAAGGACAAGGAGAAGGAGAAGGAGCAAGAGAAAGAAGAAGAGGAAAGGAACAGTAATGAGACGTCACGAGCCACGTCACAACCAACACATTTCCTCCTTGTTTACCGTAGAATTTCCGTCCGTTTCTCAGGCGCGGCCAGTCGGGGCTCGATGTTACTCGGCGGGACGGTTGCTCGGCGGGCCCCTCTCTGCGCTGCGAGGTTTCGGGGTTGGGTCTCGCTTTGTTGTGTCCTGTTTTTTTTTTTCTTTGTTTGTTTGTTTTTTTTTTTTTCTTTTTCTTTTTCTTTTTCTTTTTCTTTGTTTTTTCCTTTCCCTTTTCTTTCTTTTTTCTCGCTTTCTTTCTTTCTTTTCTTTCTTTTTCTCGTTCTTTTCTTTCTTCTCCTTTCTTTTTTTCTTTCTTTCTTTTTTTTTTTCTTTCTTTCACGAGGTTTTCTGTAGTGATCCTGTCGTGTTTTTTTTTTCTTTTATTTTTTTTATTTATTTTTTATCGATCCTTGCTTGCTTTCTTGTTTAGGATGTTTTACAGTTGTTTTATATTTTTTTTATCTCCTTTTTTTTCTTTCTTTCTTTTGTCATTGTTCAATTTGGTTATTATATTTGATTTGATGATTCGAGTAGTGTTTATATATTTTTATCGATTTTTTCTTTCTTTAGGATCTTTTACAGTTGTTTTATATTTTTTCGAGTAGTATTTACTT